GGTGGTGAATCTGGATCCTATTACCAGCTGGCTATACCAGCTTTCCACTGGACCACTCTTTAAAAGCTGCTTCTAACTTCAAAGACATTTGACTCCACTGTTTCAGCCAAGCACAAACACTCCACCTTTCTGTCTACACGGAGGAAAATCGACTCCAGTTTAATTTTGGCAGCAGGCTGCATTCCCATTACTCACTTTCTGTTAGAAATACTCCTGCGTTTTCCTGCTTTCACTCGTTGTTGTCCATGTTATCCTGGTCTGTAAAGGTTCATACGTTTCATTAGAATGCTGCTGGGCCACATTTTTATTGTAAAAGTCTGTGGAAAAGTTTTTCAAAAACATGTCACCTGAATCAAAAAGTGAGGTTAAACAAAGTGTCTTTCACACTTCTTCTTGCAACATCTTAGTACTCCTCAGACCACTCCTGTCCGTCTTTTGTTGAACGCAACAAAATTTAAAAACCCCTATTTCTTTAACCCATGACATGTATGGATGGATCATAGTTTCTTTTGAGAATGAAAGCAGAGTAAAACTGCCAACCTGACAGAGGTTCCGTGATAAAAGCAGGTGTGTTTTCTTCTTCTCAGCTGAATCACAAGTGTTTTCCATAAAGTTTATGATATACATTACCAAAAGCGAGGCATAAGAAATGCTTAAGGACTGCAATTGAGGAAAAAATGCCCACTGTTCTCCTGCCAGCTGAAAAAAAGCTGCTCTAAATGGAAAAAATGAAGCTGTTCTTCAGCTTCATTAAAATTCTGTGGGTTTTTGAAACTGGAACTGATCAGCAGCTGGAGATTGGTTTTACTGGAGAAGCCCACAGGTGCCCACCGATGTGTCAGACACTGATAATTTGACTCTGCACAGATGAAAATTAACCCCGGGGTTTTCTTTTCTGCAGCTGCAGCACAAAACTGACTAGATGTGATTTTTATAGGACAGTGCTGCATGACATTCGTATAGAGAATTAGTAGAGCTCCACTGGGACCTAGCTTGTATTTTCATTGTTTGTATTTAGCTTAAAACAATTTTGGCAACTATAGAAAATAAACTACTAAATATTTGTCAAAATTTAAAAAAGAGCATGAACCAAACAACATGCTGCTTAGTTTTCTTTAAAAAAAAGTGAAGCTTTATCTGTGACAAAGTGACAGAATTGTTTATAGATGTCATTATTTTTCTTAAAACACTAGCTTTAAACTTGGAAAATGTTATTTAACCTTATGTCTGTAATGAACAAAGCCGCACTAACATAAGTTTCCAGACAAAAAAATAAAAAAACCCTGAACGTTTCCTTTAAAACCCATTAGCTGTCACGGTTCAGTTGACAGAAACACGCTGGTTCGGAGCTTCTGTTACTCACTCGCTCTTTGATCATTTCACCTGCTGTTCAGCACTTGATTGTTAGTTGTCAGGTTTCCAGGAGCAACTGCAGGTCACTTTGTCCATGTGGACTTCAAAGACACGTTAAGGGGTCAAACACCGCAGACCTGGTGATCTCATGGACCTGCAGTTGAGACCGTGGGGTCAGGACGCCTCACGTTACCAAAAAAAAAACCTGTCTCTGTCATCTGAGACGCTGGTGCACTCTCAGTATGAAATCAGTGGGAGAGTTTATTTTTATTTTATCACACATTCACCAGTGATCAGCCTGTCTTGCTTTTTTTCTATCTGCAGACCCGTGCCTGTACATCCCCCGCTTCGCTCACATGCTGGAGTTTGGTGAGAAGAACCACGAAGTCTCCATGACGGCGTTGAGACTGGTGCAGAGGATGAAAAGAGATTGGATGCACACAGGACGGAGGCCATCTGGTCTCTGTGGAGCAGGTAACAGTCCCCCACAGGTAGGCCTGGTACTGAACTTCGGTTCTTTTATAGCACCGACTGAAATACATCGATAGTAGAGAGTATTAAAAAATGCCTTGTCTTTCGGTGCCAAGTTTAGGTTTTAAGCTAAATCCAGTATTCTTTTTGTCAGATCTAGTATTAAAAAAATGCTATTGAAAAAAGTATCGTTCAGGAACCGGTATTTTACTGGTATGTATATTTTTTGATTGACACCCAGCCCTAGCCACAGGTGGCGCTATTTTTGAGGTTGACGCTAAATCAGACTGTGATGAAGACGACTGGAGCACTAAGACATAGGTTTAAGACCGGTGTTGTTACAAAAGAGAAAGAAACCAGCAGAGTTGTTGTTAAAGTTGGATGGAGCTCCTTCAGACTGTTGGGCTTTTAAGCTCCAGTGTGAGCATCTATTTTTTAACAGGCTGTTTAGTGTGGCGACTGTAATGATTGTTATATAATCCTTCAAGACTGACTCTGTACTTTATCACACAGCTCCATTAATATAATGCTTCAAAACAGGGTTTTTGCAGCAATGGGTTTTAATATATAAGTCACTGCTGACTGAAGATGATCCTCACTGGGAGTGACCAGAGTCAGGTCTGACTAAATATAAGGCCTGATGACTGATGAGTCAGAATATACCATCTGTCACCTAGTAATTAAGAGTGAAATTATAATCTGAGGATTGCTGGTTTAAATCCTGATGCTTGAAAAGAAATCATAGAATAAATCTTGCAGAAACTGTCTGTGGTGAAGTCTGACAAATGTCCAACCTCGACTCTACAGGAGTCTTTACCTCCAGACTTCAGAAAGATGTTTTTGTTTGTTTGTTTCCAGCTCTTCTGGTCGCCGCCCGTATGCACGACTTCTGTCGAACCACCAAAGAAATCGTCAGTGTTGTCAAAGTCTGTGAGTCCACTCTCAGAAAAAGGTCTGTTTTTATTTTTGTTTACCCTCTGTATAATGTAACACTTAACAAATGCCCAGATAAGCACATGTTACTGACAATAACCTGCCTCCTGTGTAATGATTTCTACATCGGCAAATGTCTTTCAAATTCTTTTTGGTAACTTTTAAGAATATAATAAAAAACAAGGCTGAGAGTTGCCTTAGGTTAATTAAAAAACGTTAAACTTTCAGAATAAAAAATCTTAACCAATGTTATCTACAAACAGAGTGCAGTAAAAAATATTTATATATTTTTTCAGTCTCCACCTGCCAGAATGTCCCATTTAATTTCAGCAGATTGACTCGGTGGTGTCTTCTTCTCCCTCAGACTGAATGCAGATTGACTCGGTGGTGTCTTCTTCTTCTTCTCCCTCAGACTGAACGAGTTTGAGGACACGCCCACTAGTCAGCTGACCATTGAGGAGTTCATGAAGGTGGATCTGGACGGAGAGTGTGACCCTCCGTGCTACACAGCAGGACTGAAGAAGAAGAAGTTCCAGCAGGTGTGATGAAGGCTGGCTGTGTGATGTCTGGCTCCTCTCAAATGTATCGTTGGAATCTGAGTTGATCATTTTCCTGCTGCTTTATTTCTAGCCTCAGGCTTCAGTCTGCACTTAATGAAGAACATTAACCTTTAGAGTCAAACATTTTAGCCATTAACACGGAGGAGACGCTGGACTGTGGTTCTGCTCCAGAGAGAGTCTGTGACTGAGGAGCTGTTTCTTCACTGACCTTCAGCTCACACTTCTGCTGATGTAGACTCTTTGTTTGGGCCACTGTACATCCGACGGCTTGTCAAAGCAGTGTTTTTCAACCTTGGGGTGACATCTCTTCGTGGGGTGGCACTGAATTCTAATGGGGTTGACTGAAATGCCTAGTAATTGATCAAAAGAATTACTGATAAAATTCAGTGGCCCACTCCTGGTGCCTACAGTCTGGACAACAGGATTCAAATTCAACCAAAGCCTTTTTTCTGGTTCAGTTGTTTGGTCTGAGATAAAATTGTGACCCATATTCTGTGAATTTGTGGGCCACTTCTGACCCACTATTCAGTCCAGCACATGGACCAGTGTGGGACCTGTTTCTATTATTTTAAACACAGCAGTGGGTTCAGTGTCTCCACCGGCCTACCTCTGGTGTCCAGGAGGTGGGCTGCATCTCGGCTTGACCCTTGGAGGACGACTGAACTTTCTTTTCTCCTCTCTCTGTTCACCTTCATTCTGTTTCTCTTCACTTGTGTAGGTGGAGATTGAGCTGAAACAAAAGATCGATGACGTCGAAGGTAATGACCTGAGTCTGAATGAAGCAAATACATTTGTTTGGTTTCTTTTCAGTGAGTCTGTGTCAGAAACGAGGTTTGGACATCCTGACGTTTCACCTAAAGAAAGTCCAGTCATGTAACAAGAAAAAAAGTAAAAGTTCAACTGCCAGGAGAGAAAATGACTTGGTGTCTCTCCACTTGACTTATGTCCTGCACATGTAATTAACCATGCTCCATGTCACGGGCACGTTATAGTCTAATTATATGGAACTGCAGGGAAAACTGTAATTTAAAGCTCTGAAATGTTTCAGTGGAAGTCTGTGACAAACGGCGTCTGATTGTCACTGATTTATTGTTGTTGTTGTTGTTTAATCTGCCACAGATGAAATCCTTTGGTACGAAGATGAGATAGACACAGAGATTCAGAAGTGCCGACCTAAACTGAGCGGAATCTACGCCGCTTACGCTAAAGAAGGTACGGCATGAGTCATGTGGTTCATGTGAAGTCATCACAAATGTAAACCAACGATGGTTGCTCCATTACTGTGGCCAAAACACAAGGTTCCTCACAGTGAAGTGTAGAGGGAGCAGAATTATTCTGGACAGACATTACACCTCTGTTAAAGAACAGAACAGTGGTCAGGTGGTCACCAACTAGTGGCCCGGGGGCCCAATCTGGCCCGCCGAACCATCCAGTCTGGCCCGCTGGCTGCCAGTTGACGGTCACTGATGTAGTGTTTACACGTTGGACCGATTTCCCAGCATCCTGACCACTGCTCTGTTCTTCCCGTCTGCGTGTGGTCACAGACATTATGGTCCATTAATTATGTATGATTACTAAACTGGGCCAAATAAACAGATTATTAGTCATTTGCTTAACATGAATCTTGTGATGTTAGTGATCAGGTTGTTAGAGTACATGACACTGTGGTCAGTCAGTCATTAGTTGGGACCTCCTCACCTCAGACCATCTACACACACACACACACACACACACACACCCTTGGAAAATACCATCTAATCACAGTCACCTTCTGGTTTTATCTCCCAGTTTTTTATCTCTGACTCTGGCTCTGTTTTCCTCTCTCACACCCACACAGATGTTCAATCTGAAAGCAAACACACTCAGTGGGAGTGGTGTGACTGTGTTCAGACTTTTCCAGCTCCTGTGGCTCTCTGACACTAAGTGTCATTTGTTTTTAGTTCTCTGTCTGATAACAGGAATAAACTGTTGACCAGAGTGACATGTTTTTGAGTCCATGTGAGGACACCCTCACACTAAGAAAATATGTTGGTCTTTCTGGATAAAGTTTGTAAAGCTCTCAGTCACGGAGGTCAATTCCATCCTTGACCATTTAGAAGGTGGCAGCTGGAGCCTCTCAAAGATGTTTCAGCTCAAAAAGCTTCTGTTCTGCAGGTCTTAGAAATGGTCACTTTACTTTTACTTGTTGTTAGCAACACATTTAAACTTTCGTTTCCTTCACCGTATCTCTTAGAAAAAACCACCGCTGATGACATCACGTCAACGCCAACTGCAGAGGCCACTGACGAGGAGCTGGAGGAGGACGAGCTGGAGGCCGTGGCCAAGCACTTTGGTAAAGATGTGGGCGAGCTGACGCTGGAGGCTCTGATCGAACTTGAGAAGAAGAGGCAGGAGGGAGAGGAGGAGGACGGAGGTGTTCCCAGGCAGAAAGGTCCATCGCTGGAGACCATACTGGGGAAGATGTCCACATCATCCACTCTGGGTCTTTCTGACTCCATCAGCAAGTGCATCGGAGAGGAGAAAGAGAACCAGGAAGGTCAGCTCTCACTTTAGATACACACTCGACACATGTTTTTCTATTGGTTAAATTAGGGAACAGCATCTATATAACATGTATGTATGTATGTATATACTGTGTATATATATATATATATATATATA